AATGCAAAGATGTCCTTGTATTCTTTCAATAGTTTGTGAAAGTCGTCACCAAGGTCTCTCAGAGCAGTCGTCCCAACTTTGACTGTTCGCTCAGGACGTGACGTCTAAGATCAAGTCCGTATGCTCACCTGCCGGCTGAGGGCGGAATTCATCCGACCGCTCCTCTGCCAATGATTGCTATTTTTTGTCTTTTCTTGCGGCCCCTGTCTGGGATGCCTTTCTCTTCTTGCCGCCTGCTTCTTGAACAGGCGCACTCTCCTTGACATTGTCAAGGTCTGTTTTTCCACCACTTGACCTAGTGGCCATAACAGTGGGCTTGACATCCGAGAGATAGCACTCTCGGGCCATCTTCTGATCTCCCCTTAGGGACCCGACTGTTCCATTATCCCTCTCAAACTTGAGCAACATAAGAGATGGGATTATAACAGCCTTGGAATTATTCAGGGTTGGTCGTCCCAGAATCATGTTGTAGGCCGAGAGTTCTTCTACTACCAGGAACCGGACTACCATGTGTCGTCCTTCCCCTTTTTCGCCCAGGCGGATGGGTAAATCCACTCGTCCCAGTGGGTGGACGACTCCTCCTCCAAACCCTACTAAAGGGTGGGATGCCGGATGTATGCAATCAGTCTGATATTTTAGTTTCGACAGACATTTGCTACTGATGAGATCTGAGGAGCTTCCGGTATCTATGAGGATTCGGCCAACTCTCTGGTTGGCCACTTTACATTCAATAACGATAGGGTCGTCATGCGGCCCTCTTACCCCTCCTAGATCTTCTTCAGTGATGACAATCTCAGGAAATGAATATTTGGAGGGTCGTTCTTGGTGAACGGAATTTACATCTAACCGTCTGATGTTGTCTTTGTTGCCCCTAATAGTGGGGCCGCCTCCTGAGAAGCCGCCTGCAATGGTGTAGACGACTGCATCATCTGTATCGGTGCTGTCGGCCTGTTGATTCTTTTTGGCCGACTGCTTTTTTGAGGAAGTGTTCCCCGTAGATTTCTTGACATAAATGTCAAGATCACCTTGCTCAGCCAGGCGGTCCAGATACCGCATGAGACTGATGCAATCATTGGTGTGATGACCAACATCTTCATGATAAGCACAGAATTTTTCTTGGTTCCGGTTGTTTGCAGAACCCTTCATGGGGACCGACTTCTCAATTGAGATCCGTCCCTTGATTTCCTTTAGGATAAATTGGCTATCCTTGTTAAACGCATACTTTGGGGAGTATGGTTTGAATTCTTTTTTCTTTTTCTGGGCCGGCTGTTTAGAGGAATCAGCCGCCCAGACCTCTTTTCTCTTCTCGTCTTTGTTTGACGACTGTTTCTGTCGTCCTTCTCTTTTGTCGAACCTTTTCCCGTCCGACTGTTTTACCGTACTACAAAGATCAGTCGCCTGTATATAGGCTTCCGCTTCAATCAAGGCCTCTTGAAGAGTCGCCACCCTCTTTCGGACCAAATCAAATTTGAAGGTCGACCCGTCCTTGAGACCTCTGAAAAAGTCAGTATAGGCTACTTCATCCGGTAACCCTTGAATCTGTATTCTCATCAGGTTAAACCGCCTGATGTAAGAACGAAGCCCCTCCTTCTCGCCCTGCTGAATTGTTCCTAAATCAAGGGTCGTCTTCTTCGCAGGGATGTTCATGGCGAAGTTGGAGGTGAATAAGTAAGCAAGCGTCCTGAAGTTATTTACACAACCAATCGGCAGGTTGCCGAACCATTGTTGTGCGATTCCTTTGAGAGTCGCTGGGAAACACTTGCACCAAGTGGGATCATCCAACCCTTGAAGGTACATCAGGTTGGTGAATGCCATCAGATGGTCTTCTGGGTTAGTAGTGCCGTCATAGGCGCCTACTAATACATTTTTCACTTTGGCCGGCTGAGCGGCTTCAGTAATTTCCTTGGAGAAGGCCGACGGCTGTTCACCAAGTCTAAGAAACCGTAGCTACCAGTCCATAGGTTGGACATTTTTTGCTGCATGTCCACCAAACGGAGGTGGCTGTAAGAAATACTGTTGTTGCGGTACAAACGGTAAGTTTGGTACCGCCTGGTCGCTATGATAGCCGGACTGACGGGAGGTGCCGCCTGACTGACTCTCATGATACGACTGAGTATGCCTCATCGAGGTATTTCGCAGACTGTCTTGGAAGTTTGAAGTAGAGGCCGACTCTGACAATCGGTCACTCTTCTTCTGCTCTAGCAGTAGCCGAGCGTCTGTGTATGATTTCCTCGACCCGTCCGCCTGAATATGACGAACAGGTTTTCTATTTCCTGGAGTAGGAAAACGGTATTTTGTGAAATCAAGGGCAGGTGGCTCCCGCTTCCTAGATTTAGGATGAGGAGTCGCCTCTCGCCCTTGAACTGACTTCCTCTTCTGTGAAGAGGAGGGTTTCTTAGCCGACTGCTCCTTGTCCAGAGCAGGCGGCTTCTTGTTGATCAACTCTTGAATTTCTCCCTTGAAGTCCCTTATGAAGGTCATGAGTTCGTTCCTTGTGATGGGAGCAGACCCATCAGTCGGCTGCTGCCGAACAGGCGGTGCGCCTGCTGGCTCACTTCCAGTTTGAAGATGTTCCCGTTCCCTCCTTTTGGTATGACGGGTACGTCGGGCCCTTAGGGTCCCGTCTGAAGCTGTGTGAGCTTCAACTTCAAATTCATCCTCAGTATCGTGGTCCGACTGAACTTGAGGGTCGTCTAGGGGACGCCTCTCTTCAGGAGTCGGTATAGACTTGGATGCCATCTCAAAAGTACTCTCCCCACAGACGGCGCCAAATGTTTCGGGGTTTTCTGATGTCCTGCGGGAGAGTTACAATTCCGAGACTGGAACCGGACGCCTGTACCTGCAAAACAACGGAGACTCCTGGTGGTGGGAGCTCCGCCTCCAACGGTCAAGTTAGTACTTGATTAAGGAGTAATTAATGCGGAAATTAAAGTGATTGGGTCTCTCTAGGTGAGAGTGTTTAATGTGAGTTTTTAGCGTGTAATTCATGTAATCCCCCTTAATGAGGATTAAGGGAGGTATTTATAACCTTGGGAAACGTGTCAATCCTAGGTTTAGGTTAACCTAGGGCTGATTGGGCTTCCCTCGGAAGTTGGGCCTGGGTGGCCGGTTTCTCCATTAGGCATGGAGTATGCCACGTGTCATGACATAATAGGTCCAAGGTGGACGAATAAGCGTGTGCCACGTGGCAAGCCCTGACAGTTCCAACTGGGGGACACTTGGCAGGACCTGATTGGCCCATGTGGCGCATTCCGATTGGTGGGAGCAAAATCCCCTAATCACCTTGGTTGAACTAAGCACTCACCCTTAGTGCCTTAGTCCGAATTTATGACTAAGTGTCGTAGAAAATTGAGCACACAAGCTATCACCTTGCTAGTATGCCCGAACACTCACTTGGCACCCTCGTGCCTTGGTTTTCCTCACACTCTCTAAGTGTTTGAAGGAAAGGGATTGAGTTGTAAGAGAACACAAGTGGTTTTGGAATGCTTTTTGTATTACTCTCAACTTGAATGTACAAATGAGCCTTGGAGCCTATTTATAATGCTCCATCCTACTTACAAGGGTTGTCTAGAATATTCCTAACCTCCTCAAATGAAAGGTTCTAGATTACACCAATCTAGAGAGTTCCCACCTCCAAAGGAACATACTTATAAGGAGGTTCCTACACACTTCCTACCTGAATGCTAAGGACTACCATAGAACATTCTAGAACTTTACAAGAGTTATGTACATATGTAGAAGAAACTAGAAGACTCCTACTATGTACCAGACCTTCCTTGATTATTCTAGAGTCATCCACTCTAGAATATTCTTCCAAAGAACCTCGTAGATAGCTCCGTAACCTTCTAGAAGCATCTCGCGTTTTCCGGACTACCTACTGCCAAAACTTGTGCTTTGGGACCTCATTTCGGAAAATCGACACCACCATGGTCTTCCTTGGCCCAAAATACGGTAGACCCCCAAATTTGAGCCCATTTGGACTTCATTCAGGCCCCCAAATGGCCCATTATTATGTTACTGTCACTTGGGTGTTCACTAGGATTACACTTCTTGGGCTAAATAAAGCTCTACAGGGGGAGGTGCTCAGCTGGGCACCAAGGGCAAGCCCCCTAGTCGCGATTATGCCCTGTTGCCTAGTGACCCAAATGACGCCCATGGTTGGCAAGGGAGATGACCCGTGACAATTTGCTAACAAGCGAAAGCCAAGATACAAAGGCGAATGATTGTTGCTTCTATGGTTATTTTTAACTCTGTACTGTGTCATGTTCCGAAGGTGAAGCATATTTGTACATGCCACTGCCCCATTTTCTTTCATTGTACACTACTGTAGATAACTAAATTCATCATATTTCTCATACAAATATACAATCATACTCTCATGGAAAATTATTTACAAAAAGAACTTTGAGTTTTATATGAAGTATAGGAATAAAAAGTTGACATGCTTTAAAAAAACCCATGAATTTTTTGAATTTGGTTTATACTAGAATAACTATCATAAATCTTAGGAGTTTGGAATGACAAATCTACTACTACCTCATTACATGTGGCAAAATCTACGTTATTTCATTAAAATGAGTGACTTGGAATTCACTTTAAGCAAAATTGACTCAAGTAAACCAAACTTAAAATCAAATATGGTTAAAATTGATAATAGATTCGTAAGTTACCCAATTAGACTCGTACACAAATTGAAAGACCTACCTACGAATCAAACCTCAACATACTTGCATATTTTGTAACTTTTATGAATATATGTTTGTAATTATGGACTCAAGTTGTGGGTCTAGATCAATGCAAGTACAAATCACTTTTTTTTTTTTACAATGTATTTATTTTTTAACGTTTGTCAATCCATTACTTCAACCGTTTAGTATGTAATAATACGAATTCAACAAGATTCAATCTCTCGTGAATGACTTACATTGTAGAAATGTTACTAGTAAAAAAAATGTAGAAAATAGCTAAAGATAGGCCGAAACAAATAATAAAAAAAAAAATAAAAAAAAAAACCCAAGATTGGTAAAAAAGAAAAGAATAAATAGCGAAGTTTGAGCATCAGGCTCAAGAGCTTCCTTCAGATTTCATCCAATAAAACCATCGCTATATTTGCTTTGTGAACATTTGCGTTTGATTCAGGTTTCAGAAAAAAAATGGCTGAAACTCGTGCTAAGAAAAGATGGCTTCCCCTTGAAGCTAATCCCGATGTCATGAATCAGGTTCCTCTTTTTTCATCTCACTATTATTTGATTTTTATGCTCTTCCCTTTTTGGCGATTATTTTTATTGAAATTTCACATGCAACTCTAAATTCGATTATATTATTGTTCATCTGACGTTGAATTTTGTTGAATATTGTTGTTTTCTCATCTGGGTTTGCTTAATTTTTTTTGATTTTTATTCAATTTTTAAATTTTACATGCTTTCATTTCATGCTTTTGATTCTGGGTTGGCTTAATTTGTTGAAGTTTTGGCTGTTAAAACTGTTACTTGAAGAATTCATGTGGGATCATAATTTATTATGTAATTAAAAAAACAATGAATTGATTTCATGAGGTTTTTTTTGTGTATTGTTGCTGTTGTTATAAATGCAGTTTCTATTGGGTCTGGGATTACCTGAAGAAGAAGCTGAATGTAATGATGTTTATGGGTTGGATGAAGAAATGCTTGCAATGGTTCCGCAGCCAGTTTTAGCTGTGCTTTTTCTGTATCCTCTTACTTCTCAGGTATATGCCATTTTTGTACTTTGAACTTTAATTTATGCATTGTTTTCATTTCCATGCTTTATTTTATTTGAAAGCAATGGTTTCATGCTATTAATCACTCAAGCCTTTGCTTGCTGCAGAGCGAGGCGGAGAGAGTGAAGGAGGATAGTGTTGAAAAGGTGAGTTGTAGCAATTTTTTTGGAATGAATAAAAAGTTTCAAGATTGATGGATTGATTTAGAGAATGAATGTTATTTTATGACCTAATTTCCTCTTGGGTAGCTGATAGTTCTACTATTAGTTTGCACTCGAAAGTTGAAACAGTTCGGGATATGGTTTTTGCTTTTATACTCCTATTAAAAAGAGTGATTTGTTTAAAATCTGAAACTCTTGGAAGTAGATAACATGAATATATAGGGAGAGTATATGGGATGTCTCAGTGTATTACCTGATTGCAATGGAATGCTGCTTTGGGTTTCACGGAATGGAATGTTAGGGACTATAACAGAAGTTGAAACTTGCAAGTCTTTGTTTTGACTTTTGGATGTTGTTGCTTGTTTTGTAACCACAATGTACTTGTGAGTTGTGACTTTGAACCCATATTGTGCTTGTAAAATGTGGAGAAATTAGATACTATGTATGTAAATATTGTGGTAATCCTTGCTCTTCATTTTCCAAGCAATTACATCTACAGGTGTGATTACTATCTTGAAATTGCTGGCTAGATGAGAACTTTTTGTTTACATCAATACAACATTTGGTTACAATTCCCAACCTTTTGAATTATTGCAATTTGAATGGTAAAACTAATCAGCTGTACAAATTTTGCTATCATGGAGAGAATTATTATAGCTGCCACGAATGGTATAATGGACGGTAGAACTAATAATCCATGATGGATGATAATGGGTTTGCATAAAAATTGAATTTTCATAACACAAATAAGAATAAGACAATATTAGTTGTTGATAGTTTCTGAATTCTTTAAAGTTAGAAGTAGTTGCTTTGGGAAGCTCTTGTATTTTTCTGTCCTCACTGAGAGATGTGGTTTATTTGTGCTTCAGGACTACAACAAAAAAGTGTATTTCATGAAGCAAACTGTGGGAAATGCTTGTGGGACAGTTGGGCTTCTACATGCTATTGGGAATGTTACATCGGAAATCAAGCTTCGTGAGTCTCTTTTCTCAAAATTTTAGTCCAGTTTCTTGCAATAAAATTGCTACATAAAAATTCTTTAGCACAAGAACATAATCTTCTATTTTTTTCATGGAATTTAATTACTACTACCACAAAAGTATATGTAGTGTTCTCTATATTGGCTTTGTTAGACTATACTAAATCATGGTATCTATTTACATAAGAACATACACTTGGAGAAATAATAGTTATTGTTAGAGTAATGCTTTCTGGAGGTGATGTAAGACTATGTCTGTTAGTTTTCATATTCGTTGTGTTAATGTTATGGTGACGAATCTAGCTGAAAAATGTGATATTCATTTTTCTAGACCATAATCTAGCTGCCTTTATGATGCATACTTTGAAAATTGAATGTGAAAGGTTATGTATTTATGATTGCTATTACTTTTGAAACACAAGCAGCATTGCTTGGAATTATCATGGAAAGTTTGAGAGAGGATAATAGATGTTTTTGGTTGATCTTTAACTCGGATATGCAAACAAGGATATAATTTCTGGTACCCGAAAAACTCACCTATGAGCATAATGTCCTGAAATTGGGTCCTGTGATCACATATTTGCTTTAACAACAGCAGCTAGTTGATTGAACTGGGTCTTGACCAGTCCAATTAAGGACTGAACCTTATTCATTTATGTTTTTTCTTTGACTCATCAACATGTAGAGTCAAGCTCAAATCAGCTTGTTTATGTTTCTACTGGTTCTTTTCATCTGTAGACCGTAAATAGCTAAAATATATTTGGTTATCTACTAATACTAAATGTAAGAGGGGAGGAGGGTGTGGTCTTTTAACGTAAATAGCATATTTCTGAATGGAATTTCAGAGATGCAGTCATTGACTTGGTGGATTTTGGCCTGCTACTATCTTGCATGAAGAGAAATTATACTAGTAATCACAAACTAAAGCTATCTTGTTTTCTTTATTCCATTTTCACCCTTAATTTTGTTTTTTTTTACAAGTATTGTCCTATACTTTTTCTGCCCTAGGTTCATCTTTCTTCTTCTACCTTTTCTTTTCTGTATAGTGTTATACGCTTATATTATGTGTTGATATCCAAGTATACATCCAAATGAGGCATTGGTGGAGTTTTTTTATTCCTTGTGCTCCTTGGATTGGGTATTGGTTTAGATAAAAGGTCCATCTGGTAATTAAGTTATGAAGTTCAAATAATAAAATATATAGCAAGACCTACTTGAAAATTGGATCTAATTTATTTGGCTATCTTGAAGATTGTTATTGGCCCCATTTACTGGTTCGTGCCCCATGTTAAGTTAATCTTGTTAATCTTACAGGGAGCAAAAGGTTAATAAGCATATAGGCACACTGATCCAATATAGTATGATTTAAGTGTCAAGTGAATTGTCTAAAGAAACAGTCAGCATTACACAAGATTTTCAGAATTTAGTAAGAGTTTAAAACTATTTGTAAAGGATGTTGTTGCTGAGAGTGCTACTTTAACTGTGACAATTCATGTAAAAGGTGTATCATGTTTTGCATAAATGGACCAATCATACCCCATCAATCTTTCTTGCTTGGAGGTAGTGCTTTTTTATCGAGACTGAATCTATAACCCTGTTCAGGATTTTCTAGATAGCTACTCATCCTAGGTTTACTCCAAATTTATTACCCTTGAATCCTAGATTGTTGTTGACCATCCTGATACTCCTTCAAGTTAGACCCTATTAGTTATGGACCTTTAGAGTTTCTCAGACGGTGTATTTAAAAAGGGAAGGCACATTTTGGTTAGGTTCTTCTTAGCCATGCCCCTAACTGCATAAACCCCAACTTGGGTACTAAAACACTTATTATATTACTTTAGCATCTCTTTAACTTATATTCCTTCTTAACTTGTGGTTCAATGTAAGGAAGACAATTGACCTGAATTCTTTGTGGTAATATTTTCCTTGCGTCAATGTAACACCTGTGACTGAGCTGCTGGTTGTGCTTAGGTTGAGTATCCAATTTGAAATTGATTTCAGATGAGATATGGTTTCTGAAGACCACTTGCCTAAAAGTCTGGGATTCTGTTATTTAGTACGAACTACAGAGTATATTATTGGTTCATTTCAGTTTGTACAAATTGTCTTTCTAGCTTTTAATGTAAGTATAATCCTGCATCCATAAATCCATTTTGCTCCATATTAGTTGAGATCTTCAAATTTTCATTTCATCTCATTTAATTAGGCATTAGCATGTAATTTCAGGTGTTATATACTAGTATAAAAGTTTCTCTATTCCTGAAGATTTAGAAAGGTGAAATTAAAAGGAGACCTGTTTGAGAATTCACATGTATAGGTAAAAAATTGTAAATCATGGTAGAGTTAGCCAAAGGGTGGTTTGTTGTCTGTTTGGTCTTTGGTGCCTGTCTGTCCTGCCTCCTTACCAATGGATACTCAAAGCCACGAAGACAGTAGAGGGAGAAGAGAGGATGGGCATGAATGTGTTAGCTATGGATATAATTTTGAAATGAGAATCATGTTTTACTTTTAGATTAGAGTTTGTTTGTTCTAAAAAAAAATTGAAATTGTGACACAACATTTTTTGAAAAGAAAGCAGGAAGAAATTACCTATTATGAACTATGGAGCATGGACTACCACATGAGTACCCTTTGGTTGATGCTCAGGGTACATTACATTGTTATCAGATACATTATGTTGTGATTGGTTTGTCCATCAACTCCATTCTCAAAACTGATACCCCAGATTTCAGATGGAATATTTTGAAGTTATCAGTTCAATTACTTTGCTTTTTTCAGATTATAATTCAGCTTTTCAGATCATTTTGCATAGCCCTGATTCTGATGACCTTATTTACATTAAGTTGATGAGTAGTTAACAAGTTCATCAGGCTCTTGTATGTGCTTTTTTTCTTTGTCCTTCTGCGTTCCCAGTTCAGGGAGAACACTGAAGGATTTTCTTTTCTTGCTGTAATTCTTGTGAATGTGTTTATCAATGGACCTGCTTGCTTCCTATTGACCTGCTAGTGGCTTCTCGTTGTTGTCGCATATTTGTTAATGGTTTTGTCCGAATTATTTTGTTATAATGAAATATGTTTGTGGGTCAAGAGGCCATTGTCTGGTTTGAGTAGTGAAGCTGGTTGCAAATGATGACTTTGAACTGTGTTATAAACATGATTCTGATTTTTGCGCACTTTTTAATTCTTTGTTCAGAGGAAGATTCCTTCTTGGATAGGTTCTACAAATCCACAGCAAACATGGATCCAGCAGAGGTTATATCTTGATCTTCCTCTAAATTATGCTCTAATGTTTGTTTTCTAATTTCTTAACATTTTTCTTTTTTAATTTAACCGTTTCAGCGTGCTATGTTTCTTGAGAAAGATACAGAAATGGAAGTTGCTCATTGTGTAGCAGCTAGTGCTGGTGACACTGAGGTGAATATTTTTTGAGTACTTTATTTATGCTTTGTGATTTAAATTTTTCTTTTTACTTGGTGAGTTGTGAGCTGGCTCACTGGCTGTGGCCTTGCAATTACATTGACTCACTTTCTTCTAGCATAAAGAATTAAAGACTTTGTTTGCCTGTTAGGTCAAGGCAACAGCTAAAGGCATCATCTCCTGTAACATATAAACATAATGGGGGAAAAAACCTGTAAACAATGTAGATTCATTTACTTGGGCTTTCCAAGAGGAATGTTTATGCCGAATTATGCACCAACTTCATGAAAATCACCTCTAATGTTTATGCCATACTCAGAATATTTACGAAAGGGGTCACCACAGGCCTGGCCATAAAATACAAGTAGTTATTTGTACTATTGTCTAACTTCATTTTCCTCTCCGCCTCTTGTAGTCTGACACATTTTTTTTTTCCCTCAGGCTTCAGATGATGTTGACACTCATTTTATCTGCTTCTCATGTGTTGATGGTACCTCCATCTCTCTCTCTCTCTCTCTCTCTCTCTCTCACACACACACACACACACACACACACACACACATGCGCGAGCGCATATACACCCATAATCAGCCTGTTGTACACTCACAAGACTTGTGATGATATATGGAGCTTATTTATTCCCCTCCTACTGTCTCTTCTGCTAATGTAACAATGATTTCAGGTGAACTTTATGAACTTGATGGAAGGAGGGAAAGACCAATATCACATGGACCATCCTCACCAAACACTTTACTTCTGGTAAATTTTTATTAATTTTTTAAAGCACTAGTCTGTTTTGTTCTCAATTGTAAATAGTTGTCCCAGATCTCCTAGAAGGGTTAGAAATGTAGATTGTATGGGCAATTTCCTCTCTAGTGACACTATTGAGAGTGAAATAGTATTGTGGAGAGAAGAATATCTATCTCACTCTCCTTTGAGTACAGACAATATACAAGGGTATCCACTACATTGGTGCATCATGGAATCATCTTGCATGCTTTATTCTAGAAGTTCTTGCCTTGCCTTGCCCTATTTACTGTTTTCCAGAGAAGTTGGACTTTCATGCTCCAAATATTTGTTGGTGAAGTATGCATGGTTATATTGGTGTTACGTAGTCATCTCTAAAAGGGACCTGATTTGTAGCTGCAATAGATTTGTCTTTAGCTGTTTGACATGTAACTTTGGCCTTCATGTTCAGCATTTGCAATGTTGCCATCTCTTCACTGTTGGCTTTTACTGAATTTATTTTGTTTTTACTTCAGGATGCAGCAAAGGTCATAAAGGGAATGATTGAGAAAAACCCCGGCTCAATGAACTTCAATGTCATTGCTGTATCAAAGAAGACTGTGTAACTATATCCAAATTGAGTTTGTTTATACTTCGTACAAGTTTGAGTTTTTACTAGAGAATTCTCATGCGATATATTCTAGTTCTGTATCGCAATTTACCCAAAGCAATGTCGCTGTCACAAGCGATTGAGTTGCTCAATTAGCCTTGCATTTTCTGTGAAATCTTGTCCGATCACTTTTACAGATGAGTTCTAGTCTCCTAGCTCTTTTACTGCAACCTTGTCGATTATTTTAGGAATTTGCAGATTTTTACTATCGAGTGCTGAAAGAAAGGAAACATTTTTATTTATATCTACTTTAAATATGTAGGCATGTAGCCATGTAAATTTTGTTTCTATTTGAGTAGTTAGGTTTTGGCGTTTAGTGACTTCGGGTTATTTGGTATTTTGGTTTACTGATTTTACGATAGGACTAAATACTCATTCTTATATGGCTCAGCGATCCGAGCTGATACATCATTGAGAGAGAATCTATTTCACAAATCTTAAGAAATTTCACCATAAACCTGTATGGTTATATAGGGAGTAATCCTTTAGTGGTATAAAGTGAAACATTGTTTTTTTTTCTCAAGTGAAACACTCGTATGTATTGTTTACAAAATTGATTCAACATTAATAAATTATATGGAATCCACAGTTGAAAATACACAATAATGTCAAAATCAAAGTGTAGATACTTATCAAGGACATAATCAAACGTAGTCATATCCAACTGGTGAAGTTTAATTACCCGAATTGAACCCCATAATTGAAATGCATACACAAGTTGAAGGATGGACAGTTAGGAATATATTCAGTATACACTAATAATACTATATAGTACAGACTATGTCGTAATAAAGCCAAATCAATTGATTCAAGTGCACCATAAAAGAACACTATTATGCTTGATTGTTTTTTCACGCTACGTTCATGTTCAAAAAAGTTGATACAGAAACATAACCGAACTATAATTGAGGTATGAATAATGAAAAATCTACTTTTAACATGTAGCCATGTAAATTTTGTTTCTGAGTAACATTTAACAGAAATGAAAATTTCGAATAACACGATTTCCACATTTTTTTTTTACTCGTATTACCGACACATAATCTAAACGTATTATGTTTGTAACAATTATGATTAGAGATGTCATAAACTGACCTGACCGACTCGATTTAATCTAACCTGAAAAAATTGCAATTCAGATTTTTACTTGGATAGACACAATAATTTATCATGATTGAACTTTAAAATACAGCTGACTTCACCGAATCTGGTCCGAATACCCGAATTGACACCTCTAGTTATGATCTTGTAAATGAAATTGTTTAGAAAAATCCAATTACAGTTGACTTGGTTGACTGACATATTAATGAGTATAGACCTGAAATTCAAGCTAAGCCATGGGCTAGCCCAAGCTTACAAGAGATTTGATCAATTTAGGCGCCCTGAGCCCTTCAGAAAATGTCAATTTTAGACTAGCTCAAGCCGTGCCCAATTACATACAAGACCATGTGGTCCTAGATCCAACATGTTTGGCCCACCCATAAGCTTGTGTTCTACCTTTCTTTTTCGTTTCTATTTGAGTTGTTAGGTTTTGACACGTCTAGTGACTTGGGGTTATTTGGTTTACTGATGAAATAAGGACTAAGCTCATTCTTATGCGGGTCTGAGCCGTATACATCATTGAGAGAGAATCTAATTTACAAGTTTTAGAAATTTCGCCGTAAAAATGTATGATTATATAGGGAGTAATCCTCTAGTCTTATAAAGTGATAAACAACTTTTTTTTTTTTTTAAAGTGAAACACTTGCGTATATTGTTTACTAAATTGATTCAACATTAATGAATTATATGGAATCCACAGTTGAAAATCCACAATAATGTCAAAATCAAAGTGTAGATACTTATCAAGGACATAATCAAAGTAGTCATATCCAACTGGTGAAGCTTAATTATCCGAATTGAACCCCATAACAGAAATGCATACACAAGTTGAAGGATGGACAGTTAGGAATATATTCAATATATACTAATAATACTATATAGTACATACTATGTTGTAATTGATTCAAGTGCACCATAAAAGAACATTAATGCTTGATTGTTTTTTCACGATACGTTCGTTCATGTTCAGAAAAGTTGATACAAAAACATAACAGAACAATAATTGGGGTATGAATAATGAAAAATTAAATACGAAGTAATTTATAATTTACGATCTGTTTGGTTCAACAAAAACAATATTCCTGAAAGTTTATTTTCAAGGTAAATACTTCCTCCGTTTCTTTTTAATTTACATGTTTCTTTAGTCACGTTTATCAATGCACAAATTCAACCATTAATATCTTAAATTATCGATGAGTAAAAATTATGAAAAATTGATATTTTGAAAATATATATCGTGACGAATTGAATCTAACAAGATCCCACACGACTATATTTTTCATTATGTATATAGCACAAAACACGGTCAAAGAGAGTGTGTGAATAGTGCTAAAATCAAAACGTGTCAACTAAAAAACGAAGGTAGTATTAAGGGAAACCACAGTAGTAAAATATATACTTCTAACTTGTATTTGGACGTTTGGTTACAAGAAAAGTACAATTATAGATATCCTTAATTCCTTATAGATAAAAAGGTAAATAAAAACGGAAAGAAAGGGTAATACATTTCTTACAAAAAGAAAATATGTTCTCCAATTGTTAATAAGAAACTCATTTTCAGAAATTTATTTTCCGTCAAAACAAAGTCTGAATAAAGCAAAACATTATTACGGACATATTATTCATTTAAACTTTAGTTTTTAAAAGATAAAGAATAATGTACTAGTATATATAAACATTTTAATATTGTAGTAGAAGAATTCTTCACGTAACAGAAACAAAAATAAATTGAAGTTGAATAAGAGGAAGGCAGTTGGTGTAACAGCTGAAAAGGGTAGTGAATTAAATATTAGTAGGATTAGTATTAATTAATATGATTGTCCTATTTGAGTAATGACGAAATACGTGAGCTAGGTTACATATTTCTAGTTAGCTTTAGAATTGTCAAAGTTTGTTTCAGATACAAATTAAAGGTAAAGTATAAGTATTTATAAATGGGTCAAGTCTTTGTATTTGAAAGTCTTAAAGACAATAGCCTATGCATTGACTTTAATAGTATAACCCGCACGTGGTTTCTGGATCCTGTTGATCATTAATCTGGCCTCATAGTGTGATTTAATGGTCTAATATCGTATGTAGTACTAAAATAAATTGTTATTTGTAAGAATTAAAAAATGAATATAAATTTTATGTCATCGATGTCACATGTCATTCATGGTATATTTTTACTCTTATAGTATAATATTGAATTGTTGATTATATTTTTATCATGTTAAATCGACGTTTGGTGTATTATCTTCATTTGATTAAAAATATGAAGTACGTGATGTTAGATTCACGGGTCAGTTTCTCATTAATAAAACTATATTTTTATTATTATTATTATTTTTGGTGAAACACGTCCAACATTATAATATATAACCATGCATATTATTTATACTCTGCTCTAAAGCTTAATATTGATTGAGTTAGTTTTTTGACAAGACATTTTAAGGTCCTACATTTGAGTTTACTCCATTATGTATAGGTGTATAATATTTTTACTAACAAAATCTCAAAATCAGAATTTGAACATTTAATGCATCACATAATTTTTACACAGAATCACAACCACTCGTAATACTTGTATTGTCTTACTACTTATAAAATTGCGAAGTTGTTAAAGAATTTTTTTTAAAAAAATAATACATACAAAGTATATAGCTTTGAAACTTCATAAAATCCTTGAAAATTCTAAGAAAGTCACAAAAAAAATGTTTAATTTTCAATATGAAAATTCACTTCACTTTGATAAAATTACAATCACGTTTTCCACGAAGCACGTACAAGTCCAAATTTATCAGGAATCAAACAACCATGTACTATTATTATACTCTCTCTGCCCGTAATTATCTGCAAGACTGCAACATTTACCTAAAATGGGTGCTCTTTATTATCTGCAACAAAAAAATTTCTTTCCTTTTTTGGTAATATTTAACTATTAATTATCCACTTTTTTGGTTAGTGGTCCCCTCCACCATCTATTACCCACTAACTAAAACCCACTCAAAACAAAATTAAGTGGGACCACTCCTTTTCCCTCTATTTTCAACCTTAATTAAACCCACCAAAACTCAATTAAAACTGCCCTAAAAGTTTTGCCTAGGAGTCCGCAAACATGTCCTTTGGTGCAGATAATCCCGGGCGGAGGGATTACAATACTAGACAGAAAACAAAAAAAAATTATAGTACAATGTTTTGTTTTAATATATACAATATACTTATTCCACTTGCACGTTAAAGCTGATTTGAACCCAACTTGCTTTGCTTTAGAAATTGTTAATAATAGTTATAACTTTTAATTAAACAAAATTAAATTATGTACCCACACTTAATAAAAAAGCAAACAATTTAAATTCGAGGATAGCTACACATTGATTGTGGCATCTTTGTGCCGACATAGATATGTCCAAAATTCCGTATTCAAGTTGCTTAATTTTGCATGTATTATTTAGTAAATGGAGAATGATTCATGAAATGAAAACAAATTTGCAAGCATGTTGGTACTTAAATTTTGGCATACATTGAGAGAGCGTTAGTATTTCATTTTCTCACTTTTTTTGTGCAGAGTACAAATTTTGAAGCTTTATTCTATTGGGTGGTATAAAATAAGGTATAAGAGAATTTAATTTGTTTTCCAAAATGGCAAGAGATTATCAATAATAAGTTTAATGACACGGTGAGAGTACAATTCAGAGTAACACTCTTCACTAACTTTTCTTACGATAAAACATTCAAAAGTAGGAATGAACATAATTTAGAAACGGAAGGATTAGTGTATATTGTAGATAAATTATACCTTCTTTTGATTCAATATATAAAAGGTTTTATTTTTTGATTAATTTGAAATTATTTGAATATTAAAGGTTATCTTTCAAAATCTCCTGTAAATAACTACAATATTTGTTTGCGCACTCGATTGCAATGCACATTGCTCAACACAAATAAACATGAACCCTAAAAGAACATATAGTTTAAAACAAAGAACATATGTTGCTATTTTTACAAGATGCACCATAAATTGTATAGGAAAGTCAATAATAGGTATTGATACTACCCTATAAGCTTTAAGGATTAAGTAATATTAAGTCTTACTTTGCATGTTTGTAGTTTTTCTATTAGTAACTAGCATCAAGAATTGTAAACCTATTATTAGCATATGATCTAATTGAGAAACATACCATAAATGTGTGTTCAATAGTTGTTTGAATCTTATTCACTTGTCGTTATGTTTAG